TATATATTGGTTTTACGTTAGGTTAGTTTACGTTAGGTGTATATATTGATTTTATGTTAGGTTAGTTTAGGTTAAGTGTATATATTGGTTTTATGTTAGGTTAGTTTAGGTTAGGTATACATATTGGTTTTAAGTTAGGTTAGTTTATGTCAGATTAGGTATATATATTCATACTAATATATTAAAGTAGTTATGTACTAACAAAATAAGTCAACACAACAGTACAACTATACTGTAAATTCGAATGCTCAAATATTTACCTTGAAACAAGTGCAAATTTAAAAACCGCCAACTTATCTTTTTATATCACAGTATCATTCAAGAGTTCTGTGACCACTTACCTTTATGGATCCATAAATCACTCATAGATCCTCTAACAGCCCATCGTACACTGATCACTGATAAAAAGATTGAATCGAGCGATCGAGAAGACACAACTTCAAAAGATCGTTCGATAATGTACATGAATGAAATCATTCAATGCTATTTATATACAGGCTGCTTACAATTCGGTGATACGATCGATAAATGCGTAGATATACGTGCAAAAATAAACCGGTAATTTAAAATGAAAGTTTGTTCGCATACCACTTTGGTTCCGAGCAGATACTTTACTTTTTCTAATTTTTGCAAAAATATTTCTTAACAAAACATTCTTAATAAGAATGTTTTCTATTATAGTTAATGAATGTTATAAATAAGCGCACACAAATTAATACCTACATTAGTTAAATTTGTCTTCATGAAATTATTGCAACAGTAATATACAGCAAAAATTAAAAATTTAATAAGCAGTGTCATATGTGTTAATGTGATAATATGTGTTATAAATTATAATGGTTCTTACAAAAACATTTTGATAATTTTAAAAATTACATGTATTAGTAATTGACGTAATATTACTTATTTACATTTATTAACATCAACTTAAGAAAGTTATTGTGTCGTAATTTATTTTGCAAGACACTTTTTCAAATTCATTTTTCTCGAAAATGAGAGTGCATATGAAAAAATATTGCTGTATGTTTTTCACTTATTTTTTCACGTAGATTCACTCAGTTTCACGGTCTAACAGCTGATTGGAAACACCCTGTACACTTATACGTTTAACAAACTTACAAATTGTCGAGGTGCAGTTTTGGATTAGAAATAAAATATACGTATCCATAAATTAATTTATATAATTACTGTTTCGACAAAAGCATCTACATATAATTTAATACTGGCTCTATCAATCAGTCAGAATGCTTCACATTTTATATAACAAAATCTTTTGCTGTATTCTTGTAGAAATATTTGTTATGTTGTATTTTTTATAATTTGTCTTATAATTTGTATTTTTTATAATATGTATGATTTACCATTCGCTTATTTATTTCTCTATTTTCAATTTAAAAGTAAGTGTTTAACATAGTTCCAGTGTTAAAGTAAGGAACCTAAAATGCGCCATTTTGAAGTGTTCCGTAAACCTAGCGTTAATTACCGATTCGCTTGTCGAAGATTAATTAAATCGCGTCATAGCTTCCGAAGCAACACCAAAACTCGAGCAGGCTAATTCGTGCCGGCTCGATGTAATGCCTACGCGATTTATGAACAACCAGCACACACGCTGTGATTTCGTTTTATTTTTCTGCCTCGCCTTTGCGATCCTCCTCGATGGCTGTCGTAAATTAGAGCTCAAGGGCTCCGCGCCGCAAATCGCGGTTCAACGAAAAGCGTTTCGCTTTCTTGCTGCAAACGCGGAACGATATTTTAACGTTATTTTTATCTGAAATCCTGTTTTTCGCGGTTTTTAAAACTGCTGCGTTCTGAATCAGAGACTCAATATTTAGTAGTTCAATTATCAGTTATTTCATTGAAATAATTTAATTTAACTGTGTACTATAATTTTACTTAATTCTGTTGTGTAAAATAATTCAGTCGAATTCAATTATATGAAATCATTTAATTTTATTCACTTACATAAAATTTATTTTGATTCAATTATATAAAACAATTTCATTTGATGCAACTGTATGAAACTGTTTAATTATATGCAGCTATACTTAATTAAATTATAAAATAATATGCAATTGTTTAACTACACGCAGTTATACGAAGTAGTTTAAAGTAATTCAATTTTATAAAATAATTTAATTTAATTCACTTGCAGAAAATAATTTAATTTGACTCAGCTGTAAGAAATAATTTAATTGAATTATACAAAAAAAGTTAATTTGATTGAGTTGTACGTAATAATTTAATATAATTCACTTACAAAAAATAATTTTATTTGACTCAGCTGTGTGAAATAATTTAATTTAATTAAATTATGCAAAAGATTTAATCTGATTGAGTTGTACGAAATAATTTAATTTAATTCATGTATGCAAACTAATTCAACTAACTTCTAGTATAATAATTTAGTCAAACTTTATGTAAAATAATTTACAATCTGACTATTATATAAAGTAATTTAATTTTACTCGATTATGTAAAATAATAAGTAAACTATGCATAAAAAGCTAAGCGAGAGGTGGAACAGTTGACCTAACCTCAAAAATCCTTCGCATTCGAAGGATGACATTCAGTTTAATACAATTTGAAATAAATATTTGAAGGTTAAATATATTTAACAGAATTTATAGTATTTAATATATGGTGTATAAACAAAGTTCAACAATAACAATTAATAATAGTAAAATAGCATTCTTAAAATAGCAAACAATGACCTTTCTTCTTTGCGTTTTCTTTTAGATGGAATACAATCAACTCTTTAACTTGAAGGTACTTTTACAGTTATCGAATGTAACTTTTTAGTTAAAATAGCAAGCTTAACTAAATGTTAAATTAGACAACTGCAAAAGTACCTTCGCATGTAAAGAGTTAATTCCTCCTAAAAGAAAATGCAAAGAAAGGTCATTGTTTAAATGGAAAATGCTTTCCGTGATGAGGCCATCGGGCAAAGATGATTTCTCCGTGTCGAGCAATTTAGCCGTGCGGATCGCCGTGAAACCGATTCGTGCCGCGTTAAACATTTACGACGCCGTGCGTCGTTTTCTTATCGCGCGACACGGAGACCACCGCGTGAATAAATTTCCGATCGTATCTTCGAGACGAGGTTCGCGATTAATCGACGCGTCGCTGATTGGATCGAGCAGGTTCACGTTAATTCGGAAATAATTGACTCGATCTACGCTTAATTCCATTGAAAATCACCTAAACCATTCATTGCTGTGTGATGATAAGACCTACACAAATGTTTTTCTATTTATACTTGGCTATCATTAATATTCTCTCAACACAAAATTATAGAGATTGATGGGCAAAATAGGGAGATTAAATTATGTGCGATCATCATTGTTTTTGTAGTTGTTAAAGGGCATCGATGTTAATTTAGGTGGAGGAAATATGAATTTATTTGAAGGAGAGGAAATATAAATTTATTTGAAGGATCAGTAATATGAATTTATTTAAGGGAGTGGTAATATATTTTTTTTTGAAGGGATGATAATATGAATTTATTTGAAGGGGTTGCAGTATAAATTCATTTGAAGGGTTGGTAATATAAATTTATTTGAAGGGTTGATAATATAAATTTATTTGAAGGAGTGGTAATATATTTTTATTTGAAGGGATGATAATATGAATTTATTTGAAGGAGAGGAAACATAAATTTATTTGAAGGGATGATAATAAAAATTAATTTGGAGAGTTAATAATATAAATTGATTCGAAAGGTTGGTAAAAATTGAACGATTGAAATCCTTAACTACCTATTGCTAATATTTCAACATTTCTAAATTTCTAATTTTCGAAGTATCTAAATGTCAAACTATCTCTTCAAATCTGTATTTTCAAATTATCACATTTCCATATCCTCAAATACTCCCCAAATCTCCCTATCTTTATACCTACACATCCGAAAATCACTATACCGCCAAATTTCAGTAGCATAAAATACCCAAATGCCTAAGTTATCAACTTCTTGAATTTTCAAATATGAAATTCATCAAATGCCTAAATCTCTAAATATTACAATCCCTAAATTCGTAAATTTCTAAGCATATAGGTTCCTGAATCCCCTAATCGTTAAATCCTCAAGCCGTTAAGTTCCCAGATTGATAATTCGCCAAATGGTCAAATCCCCAAATTGTCAAATCTGTAAATTGTCAAATCCCTAAATCATCAAATCCCCCAATTGTCAAATCCCCAAATTACCAAATCCCTAAATCGTCAAATTCCTAAATTGTCAAATCTTCAATTCGTCAAATCCCTAAATCGTCAAATTCCCAAATTGTCAAATCCCCAAATTGTCAAATCCCCAAATTGTCAAATCCCCAAGTTGTCAAATTCCCAAATTGTCAAATCCCCAAATCGTCAAATCCCTAGATCGTCAAATCCCCAAATTATCAAATAACCAAATCGTCAAATTCCCAAATTGTCAAATCTCCAAATTGTCAAATCTCCAAATTGTCAAATCCCCAATTCGTCAAATTCTTAAATCGTCAAATCCTCCTATTGTCAAATCTCCAAATTGTCAAATCCCTAAATCGTCAAGTCCCCCAATTGTCAAACCCCCAAATCGTCAAATCCCTAAATTGTCAAATCCCTAAATCGTCAAATCCCCCAATTGTCAAATCCCTAAATCGTCACATCCCTAAATCGTCAAATCCTCAAATTGTCAAATCTTCAAATTGTCAAATCCCTAAATCGTCAAATCCCCCAATTGTCAAATCCCTAAATCGTCACATCCCTAAGTCGTCAAATCCTCAAATTGTCAAATCTTCAAATTGTCAATTTGCAAACCCACAAATCTCCAAATCTTCAAATCGCTAAATCATTAAATCCCAAAATCCATAAATCTCCCAATAATCAAATCCCCAAATCTCCAAATCCCCAAATTCCCAGATCCCCAAATCCCCAAATCCCAAATCTGCACAACCCAGTCCCAACCTCCAGATCCCCAAATCCCCCCAAATTCATCCAAAACGTATCTAATGAAAAACATCTCCTTCCAGGCCATCCCTGAATCATCATTCCGACGCTCAACCACCGAATGCCAGACGGATTCGTGAAGCACCGCCATCAACTCCAGCCTATCTCCGTGGACGTTACCTCCCTGCAGTCTGTCGTCCACCGTCGAAAATGAGTGTTTCCTAAGGAAAAAATCGCCGGCAATCAGATGTTGAGCACAGTGACGGTGTAACAACACGTATCGGCGTCACGAGATAACGACATCTCGAGGCAGATAGCTCGCGGTGCAAGGCGAATCGAAGATCGGACGAGCCTCTTAATGGGCATTCCGCGGATCCTGGTTGGATTTAGCCGGCTGGTTCTCCACGAGGGAAACAGGATTCGAGAGGAGCCTTGAGATCCCAGCCCGAGAGGACTCTATGGGAGCTCGAGGGTGGCGTACATCGGCGAATGACCTGCTGCTAAGCGATAATCCTCGTCTCCGTCTGTCTGCTAGCTCCGACGGATGAAAATGATCGACTGACTGCTCCCGGGGATATGTAACTTGATCATCTCGAACGGGATCAGCCTTAACTAGCCGTGGATATTGAATAATAAATGTGCGCAACAGGCAGGGGAGACATGTCGCGGATATCGAATCGCGTGTCGACTATTGCTGCCGTACTCAGCATATTGCTGCTGGTTGTGTTTCTTGTGGTTCTCTGGACGAGTATATGCAGCAGCAACAGAGCTTCCGGTATCGAGGGGCTACAGGGATTCTGGAAGGAGGTGCAGAATCAGAGTGCCGATGGGTATGATGCGTTCGAGGACAGCTTCGACAATGAAGGTAGGATTCTTTTGGTTATGGTGTTGGTACTTGGGGTACATTTTTATCGTTAATGAAACTTTTTCGTGTGAGTACTTAGTTCCATCTTGAGATTTTGAGAGATTAAGTGTAGAAGCTTGAAGATTTTAAGTAGGTACTGCATTTGTAGATTTATGTGATTCGAATTTTGAAGAAATTCAATTTATGAAGTCTTCATCTCTAGGTTAGTAAATGGAAGGTTAGCAAATTTCTAAGTTACCAAATTGATACAATACTAAATTATCAAGTTAATTAATTAGGAGAGAATTAGTCATCAGTAGATCAAATTAGCAAATTAACAGATTACCAGATTATCAAATTTTCATATTGTTGCATTAGTAAATTAGCAAACTAAGAGATTAGAAAATCACCAAATTCTTTAGCCATAAAATTAATAAATTATCAAATTATCAAATTACCTAATCACTAAGTTCCCAAAAGCATCAAATCACCAAATCACCAAACCATCAAATTACTTAATTACCAAGTACCTAAATCATCAAATCATCAAATTACCTAATCACCAAATCCTCAAATCATCAAATCACCAAATCCTCAAATTACTAAGTTACCAAACTACTAAGTGCCCAAATAAGTAAATTTCCAAATCACCAAATTCCAAAACCTGTAAATTGTCCTCCACATTTCCAGCCTCCCAACCTCCCAAATTTCCCAAAATCAAAATACCAAAGTCTGCAAACCTCAAAATCCCCAAAATCGTCAAACTTCAAAAATATACGAGTCTGTTCCCACATCGACCAGGAACCTTCAACGTCGCGCAAAGATGAAAGATTCAAAACGTAAACGTTCCAATGATCCGAGAAGTAATTCGAGTATCGTCAGACAGGAACAAGAAGAAGTTGTGAAAGATCCGTTAACGCGTTTAGTCTCTCAGTCAAGGTGTGCAACAGCTCTCAGGGAAAGCTAGAACGTCCAGACGTCCTTGTAAGGCCGCTGCTCCAAAGCACCCACACCTACATCGAACACCCACACCGACACATATCGAACGCTCGCGAGCATGAACCTTTATTCACAGCCGACCATACTCATATTCCTACCTAACCTGTACCTACGTTCTAAGTACATACGTACATATATACCCGTACCGCCTCGCGAGCCTCCTTCTACGTTCTGCACCTGATGATGCTTCGGCGAATCGTGCTCAGCATTCCGCGGAGAATTGAAAAATTACCGTTGAAATCGTGATACCCATCGTGCACACGGTTCAATCTCCGGGAACACAAAAGGAAGGGAGTGGAAAATTGATTGGTTGGTTTTGGGATCTTTATCTTGGATCGATTATTGTTGGGGAATTTGGGAATTTTGTAAGGTTGGGGAGTTTGGGAATTTTGTATGGTGCAAGTGAGTGATTTGAAATTTGGGAAGTTTGAGATGGGGGAGTTAGGGAATTTGGAGAATTGGTGGGGAAAATTTGGGAATTTGGGAATTTGGGATTTGAGGATTTGGGGATTTGGAGTTTGAGGATTTGGGATTTGGGGATTTTGGATTTTGAGGATTTGAGGATTTGGACACTTAGAGATTTGGGAATTTAGGGATTTCAGAATGTGGGAATTTGGGAATGTAGTGATTTGGGAGTTTAGGGACTTGGGAACGTGGGAATTTGGGAATTTAGGGATTTGGGAATGTAGTGATTTGGGAATTTAAGGATTTGGGAGTGTAGGAATTCGGTAACTTGGGAATTCGGGAATGTGGGAATTGGGGAATGTGGGAATTGGGGAATGTGGGAATTCGGGAATATGGGAAGTCGGTAATTTAGGAATTCGGGAATGTGGGAATTCGGTAATGTGGGAATTCGGTAATGTGGGAATTCGGTAATGTGGGAATTCGGTAATGTGGGAATTCGGGTATGTGGGAATTCGGTAATTTGGGAATTCGGGAATATGAGAATTCGGTAATTAGGGAATTCGGGAATGTGGGAATTCGGGAATGTGGGAATTCGGAAATGTGGGAATTTGGGAATGTCGGAATTCGGGGTTGTGGGAATTCGGGAATGTGGGAATTCGCGAATGTGGGAATTCGAGAATGTGGGAATTCAGGAATGTAGGAATTTGTGTATATAGAAATTTAAAAATTGAATAACCTGTACATAAAAATTTGTAGAAGTAGAGATTTGTATATACAATTTACAGATTCAAGGATTTGTTTTTATTTAGAAATTTGAGTCTTCAGAAAACATCTACATTTCTGAATTCACTATTCCAAAAATTTAAAGAATCCAAAAACTTATGAATTTACAAATTGTAAAATTTCGATTTGTAGTAATTTTACGACCAGTCCGCACTAAATTCCTCACGAAAATAAATGGTCATCCTAAACTTATCGCAACACTCATCGAGTTTAACCACACGGGTACTAAAGAAGCATAATCAAAGTTTACCCAGCACTCTCATAATAAACGTACACTATCCAACGACGTCTTTATCGATGCACATAAACGCATAATTATTCCCACGGATTCTGAGATAGCGGCACACCATAAGGTTAGCCTACACCTTTCTTCCAAGGAAGAAACACGCCGCTACTAATTTCCCGCGGTTTATTAGTTTCGCGATGGCCCGTTATCTCAGCGCATCTTTTTCCGCGAATCAGTGGCTTCGTAGCTTCATCAAGTAACCCCCCGTGGGTTGATCCTTAAGCATCTAACGATGGACCAACTAAAAATATTCTTTTATTCTTGCTCTACAACAGAGATTTTTTAACATTTTATTTTACAAATTAATTTTAAAATGTATTTACTTAATACGCTCAAGATCACATTTGCACTTGTAACATTCAATTCTATAATTAATACACAAATTTTCGTGACATTTGATTTGACAAGTTTAATATATTTACTTCATCTTTCACTAGAATCATATGTTGCAAAATATCCTATAACTACAAATATTTTAAGTGTTTTCTGAAACTTTCCTTGCGTTCAATAAAATTTATTAATATTTTTTAAAATATAGCTGAAAAGAATAAACATTTCAGCAAACGCTAAAGCACTACTACCTCAAGACCGCTATCACGTTCAATCTCGTGGATTAATTTGGGTCAAGGTTTGTAGAATAAACAATCTAATGAAAATTATAGACACTCATTTGGTTCATCTTCTACTTATTCTACACAGGGAAAAGGTAATACGGAAACGTATTGGTTGTCCGAGAAAGAAGAAACAAATAATAAATCAGTCAAAGAAGTTGTTCAACTTAAACGACTTCTGATCACCGATATTTAAAGGTCTAACTAAACCTTTGAATCTAGTAACTACTAAACATTTTACCAGACTCTGATAAAATGTCGGACCAAATGCAAATTGACTTTGGGGGCCCCGTGCGTCGAAATCGAGAAACTGCAGCGATCCATGTCTCTCACGCGTTGCTCCGCACAGGAGAGACAAGGACAGCAACAATTTCGCCGATCCAAGATTTCGAAGCGAAGTAGCAATATTTTCTTACACTTTCTTTCACAAAATATTCTTCGTACAATTGTGCGGGCCGACACTGAGCTCGATTTTGTGATTCGGCTCTTGAAACTTGATAAAAATGAAAATATATTTTTATAACATTTCGAGAGGCAAATTGCAAGAGGCTCTGTGTCGACCTGCGTAATTGTACGAAGATTTTGGAAAAGAAAGCACGGGAAAATATTGCTCCTTCGTTTTGAGATCTTATGTCAAAGAAATTGCTGTCCTTGTTTCTTACTGCAAGATGACGAGGACTAAAGGCATTTTTAAGACAAGGTATTTTTAAGTTTTGTTGTCAGGTATAATTTGGTTTGCTAACGGGCGCTAATTGTACCAGCACCTGATTCCTTGTCCCGATTCTCTATTTTGCTTCCGTGATCAAAATTATAGTGCAAATTGTCTCCTACATATTTGACCTGAAATTATATCGTTCAACTTCTGCATAAAACAAGAAATGCAGTGAGAATTTTCTATGCAGGCGTTAGTCGATAATCGCTACCTTCAGTTATTCATTTAAACAAAGACGCATGCACTTTGTATCAATAAAAAGAGGGAGAAAAAAAGAGTGAAGCAGAGGTTCTAGTCATGCGAACGAGGTCGTCAAGTTGTAAGATTGTGAAAGTTACGTAGATTTCCCTCGCAAATCCTCATTATTCTCCGTGTACCATTCGCTTGTCAATATCTCGAGTATGCATTTGAAACGTCGATTAAACAAACAGAAATCGCCTGACTGGATGACACATTTCGCTGGATCATTGACACATTGAATTCCTCTGTGAGCACTTAATGAGACATATATTTGCAATTTGAGATTGTTTGATTGCACTTGAGGAGTTACTTTGCATCTGAAAGTAGAAATACTGGGATTAGAAATTGTACTTACTCTAAAATATTTATATTAGCTTCAGAAATTAGTATTATGTTAATACGGTTCAATCTCCGGGAACACAAAAGGATGGGAATGGAAAATTGATTGGTTGGTTTTGGGATCTTTATCTTGGATCGATTATTGTTGGTGCATTTGGGAATTTTGTGAGGTTGGTAAGTTTGGGAATTTTGTAAGGTGCAAGTGAGTGATTTGAGATTTGAGAAGTTTGAGATGGGGGAGTTAGACAATTTGGAGAATTGGTGGGGGAAATTTGGGAATTTGGGATGTAAGAATTTAGGAATTCGGGGATTTGGAGTTTGAGGATTTGGGTGCTTGAGAATTTGGGATTTGGGGATTTTGGATTTTGAGGATTTGAGGATTTGGGAATTTAGGGATTTCAGAATGTGGGAATTTGGGAATGTAGTGATATCGGAGTTTAGGGACTTGGGAACGTGGGAATTTGGGAATGTGAGATTTTGGGAATTTAGGGATTTAGGAATGTAGTGATTTTGGAATTTAAGGATTTGGGAGTGTGGGAATTGGGGAATGTGGGAATTCGGAAATATGGGAATTCGGGAATGTAGGAATTGGGAAATGTGGGAATTTGGGAATGTGGATCTCCGGGAACACAAAAGGATGGGAATG